TCCAGACTAGGGCCCCATTGCTTGGCTTTTCCCAGATTCTCTATTGATCCAAAGTAGTAGGTGCTTATAATATTCAAGGGCACAAGGACATGTCTAACTCTGTCAGAGGCCAGATGGGGATGGAGACGCTGGGGACTTTCCTCTCCTTTTCTCCCAGGCTTCAGATAAGAGGGCTGCCTCGCATTCCTGAATCCCAGGCCCTAGTCTTCCTCCAATTTCCCCTCGGCAAGAGAAAAGTGGAGTGGGACGGCTCGACAGGCACATGCCGCTCAATCTTTCTAGCTGTGCGTCTCAGCGGCGCACACTTAGGTGTGTGTCGTGTTCTGTAGTTACTAACAGTCACCAGGAAGGCAGAGCACAGAGCCATTACCATGAACCTCTGACTCCGGCAATAGCTGATGCAGGTTTGTATGGTAAGTTTGTTAGACGTTTTACTGCTGCCAGTCAGAGGAGGTGGGTTTCCATGATCCTTGTAGCAGCCAAGGTTTCCGGGCACTGGAGGGAAAAAAGAAAAAACAAAAGAATTGCACAACATCTGGCTGTGAAACACCAAGAGGGCAAAGTTCTTCGTGCCAGGTACTTTTCATCCCAGCCAATATTTCCACTCCTGCAGTACAGATAACAAGCAACAAGCTTTAGAAATGGAAGCCTTCATGTCTTCTGCCAGATGCCATGCTTTTGTTTTATCTTAAAGAATACATGAGACCCTGGTTCGCCTTTAACTGGCTCTAAGAAATTCTGCAACTTCAATATTGATAGGATTCAGTATCGAAGGCAAAGAGGTACAATTCTCAAAAATACCTCCAAAAATGGAGAAGCTGCAAAGGAATGGTCAGTTAGGTCCTAAAATCACTGGAGCAGCAAAGCCCTTGGCAGCCCGTCATCCAAGGCCTTGCAACTGAAACCCTCTTCCTTTAGAAAGCTCCACAAGAGGGTGTCCCCAAGATCTTTTGGTGAGTATATTCATTTCCTATTGTTCTTATAACAAACTATCATAAACTCTGTGGCTTAAAACAACATCAGGTTGTTATCTTACAGTTCCAGAGGGGTCCTGGGGGGCTAAATCAAAGTGTCACAGACCCACATTCCTTCCGGAAGCTCTGGTGGAGAACCC